ACGCATGCCTGACGAGTGGCAAGAATCGCGAAACCGGTCGTGCGCTTCCAGGGAAATTCTGTCTAGTCACTCATATACGACTTATTATGAAATAAATGAGTTGGCACTCTTGACAAAGTACAGTTGGAATGCGTAGTTCAAGCACTAATTTCATTAGCCTGGTTCATCGATACTTGGTAGATTCCAAGATGGCCGCGTATACGTTTCAAGCACATTTATATAGTTTGTTTCGTCAGAAGAAAACGAAACACCTAATGTGGTAGTGAGGGGTTTGAGTCTCATATCGGTGAGCCGTGGTCGACTGATAAAGGCCGTCACCTCATGATCTCATATTTTGTGTGTTCGACCTCCGTCAAAATTACCCTGTTTCCTCACTTAAGGAGATATCCACCTTCTTCATATGGGCTACTTCATTTTGTTCCAAATTCGAAATCCATTGGTTTCGCCTATATATATATATATATTTACCACCGGGCTTGAAAACAAGCATGGTGCCAACGCAACAACAATGACAGTGAAGGGGATAGGTGGATTAGGATACAGAACATGGGGAAAAGTGAGTGAGACAGTTAAACATGGAAAATACAAGATAACAGAATTTTTTTGTGTTTCACCGTACACCTTTTGCAATTTTTTTGTTGTTTGATGTTTCGTTTTTCTTAATGGGCACGGGATTTCGATAGACAGATCGTACAGCATTCGCGCCACTGACTTCTATTCTGCGCCATATCTCTCAGCGTCTCTAACCATAGACAATCCTCATCCCTTGGGCCCCAACCTGGAAGGCGGGCTGCACCGACCGAAGCCAAAGCTGAAGCCAGCTTCTTCATGCCTCTAGCCCATGTCATGGTCTGACCGCCGCGCCGCTTCTTCCAGCCTTGCCCGGCACGTGCAAAGAGATCACGGAAAGGTAGTCGATGGGCAGGCATTGGTTTCGCCTACTACACACTCATTCGTTCCTTCGCCTGGCGGGAAAATAACCAGTGATTGAATACACAAGATGGAAGAGGCGGACAAGAGACTTCGGACTTGCACACACTGAGTTGCAATCAATTTACCTGATAGTCAAACAGAGGCGTTTCGTGTGCATGCATGTGGTCCAAAAACCGACGTTGCAACATAATTTGCTTGTACAAGAGTTGATTTCTTGGGATCAGAAAAATTCAGCAATCAATGCAAACGAATAACTCAGAACACTTTACTGAATCATTGATTAATATTGAACATGCTATGGTTACAACAGACAATATCAGGTAACATTTGGTTCTAACACGTCCAATATCGAAAGCAGTCAACAGAGTTCATTTGCGAAGGGTGGGTTTAGTGTGTCACAGATTAGATAAGGTGCCTGAAGTGTCATAATCAAGTATTTTCAAGTGACATGAAATTCAGTCAGAACCGAAAAGATGTCTTTGCGCTGTCAAAGCCGTGAACTGATTGAACAATTGAGCTGACAAATGCATAAATATTTTATGACGCGTGAAACTCATCTCTGATTAAAACGTTTAATAAACCCATAGCCGTGGTCATTTGATGGTTATTCTGAAATATCAGTGTTCGAGTTGGAAGACAAGCCATGGCAAATTAGCTGTGAAGTCATTAAATTTGAAGAAAAGACAATAGATAAGATGATAAAAACATCGATCTTCACCTTACCGTGTGCTAGTAGTCCGATAAGACGAAACTCCTGTCACAAACCGCACGGCTTTGTTTGAAAACAGAAGTCGTCGGCTGACCTTACCTACCGACGTATTGCCCCAAGTACCTAGGTGGCGTTCGTGCATCTTGTCGATTTCTCTGCAAATTTAGTGCAATGAAATCCTAAATTTTCTCTTCGAGTCTACTTTCAATCTCCTGTCTTTCTCCTTATGTTCATTCAAATGGACGGCCAAAAGACAGCAACCAAAACCAGCATACGATAGTGCATGGTTAATGGTTGTAGAAACTGAACTGAACTAGGTGCTTGTGGATACCTGCCAAAACCCCAAAGTTAACGCAACGCTTCTTTGCTCGCATCGACTGTTTGGGATTAAATGAATGCACTGTGTTTACTAGTGCCCCGCCGATGTCAGACGGGTGAACATTCTGACTGTAATCGACTGGCGGGGCCTTTGAAGTTTTCATCTTATTGTTGTCATAGTAACAATCATCATGCAATTATAGTTACGCCCATGATGGGTCATCCTCATAAATGAATGAATTCTTTTCAGGAGCTCAATTCTTCCTGAAAATGTTTGATTTCAGAAGAACTAGCCGCAATAAACGTCAACGAATTCATCAAAAGATCCGCTGACTGGCGGCGTAAGCATCCAGATGGATGAAGCATAGCCCTCCGCAGAAATCATGTCACACATATGTTTGCCTGCTATACATAGGTTTAATATCCGTTTGCTGACCGTAAATGTATCGTAACTTAAGAACTTAGTTTGACGACCGCAATTTGTAAAAACCGGCGTCACTTCCATTAATTGGACGTGCCGATGAACGTGTATAACCAGGGTCTTTTTCCATGGTACGGAGGTGATCAGCCTATTCAGGACCGGGGTGTCTTGGAGAATGAGTCATTACATACATCTACGAATGTTGGTGTTATTTTTTCAAGAATTTGCTCATCTATTCTACCGATTGCATACGTGTTATCCGGCCCCAATGCGAGCCAAAATTTCCGAGCGATCATGGATTCATTATTCACGGCAATGTGCACTTTTTCCTGTCTTGTACGTCCAACGACATTTTCGAGTTCTGTGATTTTCTTTCTATCAGTCTGATACCAGACCTCGAAACTACCGTGTTCTGTTTGTGGTGATTTTAATCCGTTTCTAGATGTACTCCGTGTTAGAAGACGCGATGTACCTGTACGAAGTCGAGTGTACCGTAGGAAAACATGGAGTGGCCAGCACACGATTGTTTACATTTCTGTACCGAATAAGCTCGGAGAATCTACTCACAAGAAGTATTGGAAAATGAACTCAAGTTTGTCTCCAATATTTTCAGAAGCAATGGTTACCCAGACCGTTGCATTCAACGAAATATGATGAAACAGGTACCAAAAGTACCCACTGAGAGTGGAAAAGAAGGGCATGTTCGTTAGTTTTCCTTTCAAAGGGCGAAGTTGCCGCTCAAACCCTCGTAAGACGACTGAATGGAGAGGCAAAAGGCACATTCAACGCGGCGCACCTACGCCGCTCTTTTGAAAGTTTGCCACTGATAACCATACGAAATAAAAACAAACTATTTTATTTTATTACTTTATTTCATTTTTCACTTCCTTTTATGGAATACACAATGAAATAATTTTCGGGAAGAAGGAAGCGGCCAATCAAAAGACTGCCATACGGCACACAATGAGGAAGGTCAGACGGTGGTGGAGGGATTCGAACGCACGTTCCTCGCGGTGAAAATTTGGCAACGTTACCACCAGCCCACTACCGATATTGACCGCTTCGAAGATTGTTTACTCATTCAGATGCATTTGTGGCGCACTCTACGTTGGTCGTATAGCACGGCAGTTATCTATATGCATCCGCGTCGGCTGGGTCAAGGTGATTCCAGGACTATTATAAGTGCGATTTTCGCCCACTTGGTAGACACTGGCCATCGTGTTAAGCCCAGTGAAGCACTCCACATTATTTACCAGATTACCCCGAACCGGTCTAAATATGTTCAAATGCGTACGTTTGTCATAGCCGAAACCATATGCAATAAGCACTTGACCCTCGAACTATGTGCCCAGAAACGTCTTATCCAAGCTCTCTATCTCCCCNNNACAACACCGATCCCTCAGAACTGGGTCACACGACCGTCGTGACATAACTGGAAAACCCGGGAAGCGCAGATCTGAGAATGCGGTGTGCAACACACACAAGTATATACACAGTGAGTGATTCCTCACATTTTATTGTTCTCCTCCGAACCTCTAGGTTTACCCCTCCATGTAAAATGTAATGGCATGAAAATAATTGTTCGCCTGCAATCATATTCTAAGTGATTTAACTCTTTTGTGACGAATATCCCACCGTTATTAGGTTTAGTAAAAGTTGCGTACTTCCCAACCAGAGTTCACGCTCGGTTGAACTAGTCTCATGTAACTAATTCCAATATTTTTTTATATCGAGCCGGCCACTTATCAGACTGCCATTAGATTGTTAGCAAGTGCAAAAAATAATTTCACGCACACAACATTCACCCTAAGTTATTACTAGGGAGAGCAGAGCTGTATGTTACCGAGCGCGTCCCCAGGTCGCGGATAAGGAAACGGCCGTCAACTCGCGGCTAATCGTGAATAAGGTGGGCTTTGGCCCCCCGAATAAGCGGTCGCGGACGATCAGCAACAGCGCTCGGGGATGTGGTGAGTTCAACTCCTGGCGAGAGTTCTCGGCAGAAAACACCACAAATATCTGTGGACAACACCGTGACGGGGCGAGTGTGGCCCGCCACTAAATATGGCTATAACCCCTTGTCGAGTTCCTTTGCGCGACAGGGTTTTCCAGAAGAGGTGAATGGACCGAAAACCGGCCACTTGCTCATCTGGAACATCACTGCTTCCTTGCAGTCCGTGCTTGGCTACGCGAAGGCTAGAGTGCATCCTTGAACAAGAACTACCCTGGACTGGGCGACCGAGTAGTACAATAGCCCACAACGCAGACAACTATGAGCGTTCTCGCTCTCATGATTTCGCACTCTAAACCTTCAACAATCGAAAGACTTTTTACACCGTACACACTCTTTTGTCCTCTCAGCCTCCCCCACCCGACCTCTGCCCCCTCCAACTCTATTCTATCTCTCTCGGGTACTTCAGACGATCGTGCTAGCAATAGTGCCTCGGGCACTAGCTGCAAAGCTAGTACCAACCCCACCCGATGACTTTGACCAGCACTGGTTGCTTATCAAGAATGCTCTGCATTCTGTTGGTTTAGTTAGTTGTGGTCTGACACGTCGAGTCGTGACACCCTGGATCTCTGCAGAGTCTCTACGCCTTCTTGACGCACGTCGACCGGCAGAGAGCATAATGAAACATGACTCGTAACGAGACGTGAACTTAATGCAATCCTACGCGGAGACCGCGAGATCTGGTGGACTCAACGAGCGTTAGAGAAGGAACGTGCTGCCGACATAGGTAATTTCCGTAAGTTGTTCCATGTCATCCGGGTCACCGGTAGTAAGCCTTGGGTGTGAAAGAAACGATCTGCGAAGCTGACGGTTTGCCCATTCACAATCAACAGCGACATCTTGCACGCTGAGTGGAACACTTCAAAGCACAGCTTAGCTGTCCTCCGGCGTCAGCTTCTCACACAGCTATTCCGGCACACATCCCATGGTCTGTCTCCACAGACCCACCTTCCGAGGCGGAATTTCATAGGGAGATCCAAGCCTTGAGACGTAACAAAGCACCGGGCTTCT